GATGATGCTGATGATGATGATGATGATGATGATGATGATGATGATGATGATGCTTATGATGACGATGACGATGACGACGACGCTGACGATGACGACGACGGCGACGATGATGCTGATTATGATGATGATGTTGATGATGGTGACTATCATGATGATAATGATGGTGATAGTGATGATGCTGATGCTGCTCCTGCTGATGATGATGATGCTGATGCTGCTGTTCATGGTGATGGTGATGGTGATGATGATGATGATGATGATGTTGATGATGATGATGATAATGATGATGATCATATTGATGATCATGATGAGGGTGACGCGATGCTAATGTTGATGGTGAGGGGGACGATGAGGATGCTGATTATGAAATTGAGGTTATAATGAATGTGGTGTTAGTGGTTGTGGTGGTTGTGATGATGATGGCTGCCACGACAATCATCCGGTCTGGTTGAAATGGTCCTGCAAAGGCCTGACGCCTTCCCAGGAAGGCTTGTTCGAGGCCATTGATGAAGGGTGTGCCCTCGACCCGAAATGTGCTGCACCGATGCGTTGCGGGTGCAGTTACGGGGGCCCGCAACCCAAGATGTGCTGTTTGGCTGCAGTTGCGGGTGCGGTTGTGGATGCTCGTGGCCCAAGACGTATTGCTCTGGGCCGGTTGCTGGGGCCCTCGGTCCAAAACGTGTTGCCCCGCTATGTTTGAGGATGCGGTTGCGTATGAAGTTGCGGGTGTCCGCGACCTAGATTTGTTGCCTGGTTGAGGTATGGGGGCCTTTTCGAGTTTTTGGAGGCTTGTTCAGGGTTTCTTGGGGCCCTCTTGGATGCCTCTGGGAGCTTCTCGTGCCGTGCGGGACGCTATGAGTAATTCATGCAACGCTCATTTTGTTTTTTCAATGGCCTTCTGGAGACGTCTTGGGGCGCTGATGTGGGTCCCTGGGAAGTCTTTTTGGCGCCCCCTTGGAGCCGCCTGGGAACGTCTTCAAACACGCTGGCTTGGTTTCGGCTCCGTGATGGCGGCCAAAGAGCATCTGGAACCCTTCGAGTCTCGTCGCTCATCATATATGCTGCGCCCTCTGCCGCCAGCCCCCCCTTAAAGCACTTTTGGCCTCTCGGGGGCATCTTGGGGCCATCTCGGGGCCTTGTGGGGTCACCGTGGGGCTGATAGAGGTAAGTCATGATAGAAGCGAGAGTCGTAGAACTTCTCAACGCGTGCGTTTTTTCTCGGGGGCGTCATGGGGCCCTCCTGAGTCATCTCAAAAAGCATATTTTGGCCACCTTCGATCATCTTGGACTCCTGAGGCCCTCTTCGAGGCCTTGGGCTTTCTTGGCCGTCTGGTGGCGGTCTATGGGAATCTCGGGAAGCCATACTGCACCCCATGAGTTGCAGTGCGAAAGTGGCGCTTTACATGGATCTCTGGCGCCAGAAATCTTGCACACCGAAGGTTCGCCGACCCGCTGATCGGGACTCACTGTTGTCAGAGTATGTTCAAAATCAGCAGCGTGGAATGCCGATGTTCAGCGACGGTGTTCTGACGGAGCGCCTCAGGCCATGCCCAGAGGCCGTTTTTCACGTCTAAATGGGGCAGCACGGATAGTCGCATTGTCTATGTTGGCGGCGATGATTGGAAACGCGACGATGATAATGGCAGTGGTGACGATGCCGAACATAGTGTTGTGGGTACGGAGTTGGACGAATGCGACGGTGATGGTGATGAGGGCGAGGACATGCTACATGATATTGCTGATGGCGATGACGATGATGATGACGATGATGATAATGATGACGATGACGATGATGATGATGATGCTGATGATGATGATGATGATGATGATGCTTATGATGACGATGACGATGACGACGACGCTGACGATGACGACGACGGCGACGATGATGCTGATTATGATGATGATGTTGATGATGGTGACTATCATGATGATAATGATGGTGATAGTGATGATGCTGATGCTGCTCCTGCTGATGATGATGATGATGCTGATGCTGCTGTTCATGGTGATGGTGATGGTGATGATGATGATGATGATGATGATGATGATGATGATGATGATGATGTTGATGATGATGATAATGATGATGATCATATTGATGATCATGATGAGGGTGACGCGATGCTAATGTTGAGGGTGAGGGGCACGATGAGGATGCTGATTATGAAATTGAGGTTATAATGAATGTGGTGTTAGTGGTTGTGGTGGTTGTGATGATGATGGCTGCCACGACAATCATCCGGTCTGGTTGATTTGTTCGAGGCCATTGATGAAGGGTGTGCCCTCGACCCGAAATGTGCTGCACCGATGCGTTGCGGGTGCAGTTACGGGGGCCCGCAACCCAAGATGTGCTGTTTGGCTGCAGTTGCGGGTGCGGTTGTGGATGCTCGTGGCCCAAGACGTATTGCTCTGGGCCGGTTGCTGGGGCCCTCGGTCCAAAACGTGTTGCCCCGCTATGTTTGAGGATGCGGTTGCGTATGAAGTTGCGGGTGTCCGCGACCTAGATTTGTTGCCTGGTTGAGGTATGGGGGCCTTTTCGAGTTTTTGGAGGCTTATTCAGGGTTTCTTGGGGCCCTCTTGGATGCCTCTGGGAGCTTCTCGTGCCGTGCGGGACGCTATGAGTAATTCATGCAACGCTCATTTTGTTTTTTCAATGGCCTTCTGGAGACGTCTTGGGGCGCTGATGTGGGTCCCTGGGAAGTCTTTTTGGCGCCCCCTTGGAGCCGCCTGGGAACGTCTTCAAACACGCTGGCTTGGTTTCGGCTCCGTGATGGCGGCCAAAGAGCATCTGGAACCCTTCGAGTCTCGTCGCTCATCATATATGCTGCGCCCTCTGCCGCCAGCCCCCCCTTAAAGCACTTTTGGCCTCTCGGGGGCATCTTGGGGCCATCTCGGGGCCTTGTGGGGTCACCGTGGGGCTGATAGAGGTAAGTCATGATAGAAGCGAGAGTCGTAGAACTTCTCAACGCGTGCGTTTTTTCTCGGGGGCGTCATGGGGCCCTCCTGAGTCATCTCAAAAAGCATATTTTGGCCACCTTCGATCATCTTGGACTCCTGAGGCCCTCTTCGAGGCCTTGGGCTTTCTTGGCCGTCTGGTGGCGGTCTATGGGAATCTCGGGGCAGCTCAGAGCGGCCAGGAGGCCGAGTCTCTCCCCCTCAGTTTGTTTCTGTGCGTTTGTCTGCTTTCTTTTCAGGGCAGGCCACGGGCTCCCAAGTAGACAAGAAATACATAAGTCATTGAGGGATATACGACAACACGCACCATCGAGGCAGCAGCCAAGCAGCACCCTCGCTGTCTTGTGCCCCCCGAGGGGTCTGGCGGAGACATACCGTGTCAGTGTACACATTGTATTCTTCTCCATGACTATTGTTGTTCCGTCTGTCCCGGTGTGCGTCTGCTTGTCTCTGTCTGTGTGTGTATCCTGGTCCTTCTCCTTGTTGTGGTTCTGTCTGTCATGTCCTGGCTGCGTCTGTCAGTCTGTCAGTCAGTCTGCCTTTTCATGCCCAGTGTTTGTCCCGCTGGCGTGCAGGTGCGGGTCCACTTGCCCCCCCCAGCCTCTGTCGTCGAAGGCTATGAGGCACGATGTATCCAGTTCTGGCTAGCATGTTCGGCACATCATGCGAACACCTTGCCGTTCGATAGATCAGTCCTTTCACCGGTCATCCAGATCGGAGGTTGACGTTAGGTTGAGCACTCGTGTCAGCTGTTCCATCGGTGCCGCATGTTTCGGATCGAACATCAACTTTGCGATGGTCATGCAATTCGTTTCGTCCTTTGAAAGCTATCGCGAGTCGCGTGCTTCGAATATTTGCCTTAGTGTCGATACGACTACCCGCAGTGCGAAACTGCTTCCATGCACAGGGGCATGTTTAATGCGGGAGCGGCGCGGATTAGCGCGAGGGAGGGCCCCCTTCCCGACCTGGCCAGGTGGGATACGACCTTGACAGCTGTAGAGCTGGGGAAGGCGCCCTCGCGGTCTCGCGTGTGCTCTGCGCAGGAGCGGGAATGACTTGTGGGAGCAGCAGCCGCAGGGGAGCAGTGAGAACGGATGATGATGATGAGGAGGAGGAGGAGGAGGGTGCGTCCAAGTGCTAGGGTCCTGTCATCGGGGACCGAAGACGGGTTCGATCTTTGCGGCCTTCTGCAATATTGTACTGTACCGTGCCATACTGTGTCGCGTCGATCCGCGTCGTGCGGTATAATTCCGTGCGAAGCGCAATTGTCTTTGCATCGCTCGGACATGTGTTCTTTTCTCGGCTAGGACAGCGCCAAATACTCTTGACCATCTAGGAACATCGGAGCGGTTTGCCGAGACGGTTGGTTGCGGGTTGTTCAGAGTTTGTTGGGATGTTGGCCGCACCGCAACACTTCTCCGTTCCGCAAGTGTTTCGATCAGGTACAACATTGTATACATTATGATGTGAAATGGCACTGTGAAGCCAGTCGAGCGAAACCTATAGCTCAACATACGCGACGTGCTGGCTACGCAGTCGCAGCATGCTGACACTGTTGACATGTTACACAGTCCACGTGCACACATGCGCCACTATCGTGTCAGGGCTTCCTACTCATTGCAAGCCTGTGTTGTTTCATGGCATGCTGTATCATTTTATACGATGAGATGGCATGGTTTTATACACATTGCAATGCCGTATTATGCGTTCTGCTCCGCAGCACCATCGTGCTTTATACCACCAGCCAGTACCACATAGTATTGTACACCGCAGTGTTCTATTATGTTTGCGTCATGTTTCTTGCTGTCTCTTGTGTGCACACGATGTCACGCCTTAGCCACTGATCTGTCGATGTTGCAGCGGCCGTGCTCGCATGGTTCCTCTGGCTCGAGTGCCGAGCGAGTGATGGCTTCTCAGGCTACGCCCTCGCGCCCTCGCGCCCTTTTGTGCAATGTGTGGGGGCCGAGGGCAACTCATGCTCGTAGTGCCTGCTTGAAACGGCGTGCTGCGACAAGCTCGGTGTTGACGACAGGCGCACGGCTATGCCAGGCAGGGCCTACGCGAAACTAAATCGTTGATGATGTTCGGGAAAAGGAGGAGAGATGACGAGATGAGGGAGGAGATGGGATGGAACATGGAACATGGGTTGGAAGCGTGTGGATTTGATCGGGCAAAGGGGGAATGTGCAGGACCAGTGACGGTGGCGTCGGCGGAGGCTGCACCAGAAGCAGGGATAGCAGGGTCAGTAGCAGCGGCAAGCTGAGGGGACTGGCCACGGCTGTGGATAGACCACCGTCGCAACCTCCGCTGAGTGGCGTTGCCCTTAGATCGAGTCGGAGGGCAGGGGAAACGGCGGGTCACCTCAGCACTGACAGCGTGGTCAACGAGCGAACGAGCGGAGTGGCGGTGGTGTTGTTTGATCGCCTTCGGCCACTGCCGCCTGCACCCCTGGCGCAGCATCGACCAGCATCGAGGTCTCCCTCGTCGTCGTCGTCGTTATCGTCGTCGTAGCTTTAGGCGCTCTCATTGTCCTCTCTTGGCTATTCAGGTGCCTTCTTGGAGTGTATGCTTGTGTGGTGGCCTTTTTACATCGCCCTTGGAGCAGTCTTGGGCGTGAATCTGGCCTATGAGCCAACATAGGTTGTTACTTGCGGCAGTTGGCAAAGACTTTCGCACATTGAGCAGTGAGATGTCCTGCCATTCGGGTGTTACGTATGACAGTATTTTCTCCACCCTGAGTATTGCTTTATATACTGGGGCGTGATGGAACCAGACATTGTTGTAGCCTCCGGGATCAAACGTTCTACCGTTGCCCGTGCCTGAGTTCAGCATCAGGCGTCCCGCAGAGGTTACCTCCGCATTTGTTTACTGAGATCGGGAATTGTTTTTGGTTCGCCCTGTTCCATCATTTTCCACGGGCGTGTTTCTTTCGAGGGATTGTGACTTGATGCAGTTCAAGCATGAGCAGACAGTCAAATGCGCGGCTTCAATAATCAGACAATTCAGGAGTTACGATTGAAAGGTCCAGTGCGTTCCGTTCAGTTTGAGCCGTTTGGTGGACCTATATTTGTCAACCATATGTACCCTCTGCATGCAGCTGCTGTTGTCCGAGTGTGCTTTCTTGGCCGTCTCTCGTTCGAGCCCGCCGCGGCGAAGGCCGCCGCGGCGAAAACCACCGAGCGTCAGCAGCATCGACTAGCGATGCCAGGTTCTGAGAGAGGCGCTCCTTGCAATTCGAAAGTGCGTGGGGCTTGTGACGTCCAGAGGATAAGTCGTTGCTCTTGCGGGGATCGCCGCGCTGCTTTGCACGAGTCTACTGCGTGCAGAGAAAAGAACAATTCGCGCAGCTCCCAAACTTCCCCGTCTGTTGGGGACCCCAAGCAGGTCAAGTGCCAGACTTGCTCGTACACTTCTCATCGTAACTTTCACATCTCTCTCTATCTGTATGTATATGTGTATATACAGCTATGTCTGGAGATATCTGTATAGACACTCAGACTTGATATCTGTATATACATATTATGTATGTATGTATGTATGTATGTATGTATGTATGTATGTATGTACGTCTGTCTGTCTGTCTGTCTGTCTGTCTGTCTGTCTGTCTGTCTGTCTGTCTGTCTGTCTGTCTGTCTGTCTGTCTCTCTGTCTGTATGTATGTATGCATCTATGCATGTATGCATGTATGCATGTATGCATGTATGTCTGTGTGTGTATGTATGTATGTATGTATGTGTGTATGTATGTATGTATGTATGTATGTATGTATGTATGTATGTATGTATGTATGTATGTATGTGTGTATGTGTGTATGTATGTATGTATGTATGTATGTATGTATGCATGTATGTATGTATGTATGTATGTATGTGTATGTATGTATGTACGTATGTATGTATGTATGTATGTATGTATGTATGTATGTGTGTGTGTGTATGTAGGTATGTATGTATGTATGTATGTATTTATATATATATATATATATATATATATATATAGGGGAGGAGGGGTCCCAGGGGCCCTGGGGAGTACTGTGTTTGTACAAGGCCGTTTTGGACCCGTGGGGGAGCGCCAGAATGCGTCAAAAGAGGGAATGAGGGGCGACGAGAGGGCCCAAGAGACGTCCAAGAGAGCTCCAAGACGGGCCAAAAGCGCTCCAATTGAGTCCAAAACCGACCAAGAGCGTTCCAAGATGGCCCAACGTGGCTTCAAGACAGCCCAAGAGGGCCTCAAGATGGCCAACAGGCCTTCAAAGAGGAGTGCCGCGAGGCCCTCAGGAGGCGACAAATCAACTTTGTCTGAGGTTTTTTAAGGTTTTCCGTGTCCTGGTTTCTTAATGTTTCCGACGAGCCAAGACAACCCACGAGGCCCCAGAAGTCGACCCAAGACGGCCCAACTGGCTCCCAAAGAGGCCCCAAAAGACCCAGGAGGTCCCAATTGGCCTCAAGAGAGGTCCAAGAGGGCCCCGAGAGCCCTCCAAGAGGGCCCCAACAATCTCAAGACAGCCAAAGCCTCGTAAGCCGCCCCCATAGGGGCCCCTGGACGGCCCGAGAGGACTTTTAAGTGGCCCCAAAAAAGGCCCCGAGAGGACACCCAAGACGGCCCGGAGACGCTAAACGCATATTCATCGATCTCGAGGCCCAGCCGTTGCGACCGCGAGGAGTTTCCGCACGTCGTCCGCCAGCCGGCGTGACAGCGGGTGCATTCAATATCAAGGCTGCGTTCCTTCTTTTCTCCGTCCTTCCTCGATCTTCTTGCAAGTACTCCGCCACCGGGCGTGACAGCACGTGCATTATGTATCAAGGCAGGCTGCCCAGCGTCCTCTGGTACTCTTCGTTCGTTCTGCACGCGCTCCGCCAGCTGGTGTGGCAGCGCGTGGATTATGGTTCAAGGCAGTTTTTGCCCTGTCCTCCGTCATTCCTCGCCCCTCCCGCACGTGCTCGGCCCGACATGCCAAGAAAATGCGAAGACATCTACAGACCAGCGAAATACGGCCTTGACATTCCATTAGGAAGCCAGCCAATGCCCCAAGGCTATTCAGCAATCTCCCAGACGAGCCCACAAGTCAAGACTTGCGTGTCGTGACGACGATCTGGCAACCCTGGACGGCGCCATGAGGGCCAAAGACCCCCCCCCTAGACAGTGCTTAAACAGCCCCAGAGCCAGTCCAAGGAAGTCCTGCCACATCCCATAACCTCCGCAAAACGGTCGCAACCCTTCTCTGACAGCGAGTCGCCCGCAAATCCCGACCCTCGTGTTATCACAGCGCTATGGGCTGGTCTAGAAGCTGAGCGCGCGCGAAGCGCTCGCCTGTGGTTATAGTACATATCTGTGTGGGGTAGCATGGATGCACATAGATGGTTACACACATACATACACATATCCATACATACCGACAACCACATACCTGGATGTGTACACGTGTTATGAAGTATTGCGCCTGCTCATCTAGCACACAACATACAACATGCTTGACGGTATCGGCATTCTCGCACCAACAACGCACCGAACGACGCCCCGTCGATACAGTGTGGTTTATTGTTAGTGGCAATGTCCATGATAAATTGAAGTTTTCGCACGCACGTCGTTCTGCAGCAGTCGCAGTCTTAACGCGGGGTTTGAGGTGACGACCAGGGGCAAGTGTGAAATTGCCGCTCGCGCTGCAGGTGGTCAGCGAGGAACACGATATGGCTGTAGCCCCAGCCTGAGATTTGGGGTCGACGGCCTTGCCAACACTCAGGGCAAGAGACTGGAGGCCGCGTTGCGAACTAACCCGTGCCACCTGCAGGGCGCCCTGGTCGAGCACGCGGCGCGCGTGGGCACGAATCGGGGACCCTTGGAAGGGATGTGAATCAGCCGTTCGCATCCGCTCAGCATGCTGGCCATAGAGACCCACACCGAAACCGCTCCAGGACATCTGCTGTTCCTTTGTGGAACTCCAATCGGAGGGGGTCGAGGAGGCCAATGTCAGGGGTGTGGGATCCTCGCGGCAGAACGGGTGCACCGCGATCTGGCCGTGGCCATTGGGGTGTCAAGTTGCCCCGTGAAGTGGTTGGAGCGCGTGAACATCAATGGCATGGACGAGTGCGCCCCGAGGTGCAAGGGCCACCCCCAGGGTGAGCACGGAGGAGCAGGAGGTGGAGGACGAGACGGGCGACATTATCATCATGATAGGGGATCATGGTCTTTATCATCCTGCAGCCGCACGCGGAACACAACCATTATCAGGATCGTGGTGCGTATGCACCAAAGCATCATACCACACCAATATCAAAGGCTTCGTGTATCAATATTTTTTATTCGTTCGTGGGTCCACCATGTGCAGGTCAGCGGGGGCTCACAGACGGGGGCGGAAAACAGGTCATGCTTTCAATGCCATCGCCACATCTCCTTCACTTCTTGGGATTTCCATTGAGACACTCGCACCTTACAACTCCTCTAGGGGGGGGCGCGGATTATTCGAGCCACAGACAGGCTGCGCTCTCGCGGCACAGCAGCCTGCGCTCGCGCACGCTGGCTCGGCACCTGCGCTGCCGAGCGTGGGCGCGGCCGCTGCGAGACCGAGGATCGCGAACCCGCAGCGGGCCAGGACCGCGGGCCGGCTCGGAGGGCAGAGTTGGCAGCGGGGACGTGCTCGGCGCTCCGAGGGTGGCTTCCGGAGGCGTACAGGCATGCGGCGTCGCCCTCGTCCGTCGCCGACGGACAGCCACCACGGACGCAGACCCGAGCACCAGTTGAGCACCACCCCCGGGCATTTGCTCCCGCTGCCAAGTTTGCACTGTCGCCCGCGGAGCAGGGAGCAGAGACGAAGGCGTTCAAGCGATTCTCGAGCCTTGCGGCCGGGAGCCTGCCTTCGTTCGACTGAGTGTGGCGTGCAGGAAGTAAGCACATGTAGCCCATGGTAAGCAATGGCGCACACGTAGACGCCGAGATGCGCGAGTATGCAAAATGATGAGCACAACGCTTAGGCCCATGATTTTCGGCATGTATTGTCAGTATACCCGTACTTGCCGAGCTCGGTCTGCGTGTGAATAGATCGCGAGCGGTTCCCCAGATGGCATTTGGTATCGCAAGTCTTCTTGGGTCCTGAACAGCAGTCCTCTAAGTGAAAAGCCCCGGACTTGGCAGTGCAGGAGGCCTCCACCCATGAAGCATGTAGAAGTATAAGGTAAGGCAGGATTGGGTGGTGGTGATGGTGAGAACATGCTGTGCGCATCTTTGGCTAGTAGAGAACGGGGATTGGGAAAAAGAGCATCGTAGTTTGTCATAGCCGGCGTCTTGAAACTACGGTGGGTCAGGCAGGCCGAACCCAGGCATGATGGATCCGAATTTTGTTTGTCCGTTGCTGGAAGCTTTGGCCCTAGTGCACTTCTAGATTTATAGTGTTCAGTGAACGACCGAAAATGATGTTACTGCCCGTGGTCTGAAACCGTATTGCTCGCCTATCGGAGTGTCCTCGTGGGAAGGCACGGATTGATTGGACAGCTCATTGAGATAGTTGATGGGTAGTCAGATGTAGGTGACCTCGCGTGATAGCGGAGCCCGAGGTTCAGGCCTTGCCCAGGCCACCAGACCTCCATGTAGCTCAGGTTGGGCGATCAGGTCCATGGAAAGTTCAGATACGTCTTCGTGATCATTTCGAGTTTTTGTTTGCTCCGCCGTCTTGCGGTAATGCGGGTGATCGCATATGCCCCCCCTAGCTTACGTAGCGCTGGACAGCGTCTGGATGGCACAAGCACGTTGCGGTGCTCATGTGGTCCTCACACTTGTAATGGGGGCTCATAGGCATGCAGTGTTGCTCGCGTGGTGCTCGCGGGCATGCTCTGCTTCTTGCAGGCATGCAATGGCGCTGTCACTGGGAATTGTGGTGCTTGCAGGTATACAGTTGCTCGCGCGCCAGGCTAATGCCAGAGTCTGGCATAGGCTTGCAAGCTGTGATGCTGGCAAGGCCTGGCTCTCGGCCTCGGTGTCATAAACACACTGTGGTGGTCGTCACAGGCAGATTCCGGCGTTCGCAGAACAATGTGGTGTTCCCAGGTATGTTGCAGTTGTTCACAGGAGTATTGCCGTCGTGCGGGCAGGCCGCTACGTATTTGGTCCTGTCTGGCATACTGTTCTGCATACTTGCGGTGCTATTGTTGCGGTCGCAGGCTGCTGTGGTACTGGCAGGTTGTGGTGTTCCCAGGCTCTTGTGGTATTTGCAGGACTTGGTACATTGGTTTGCATCTTGTTGAGCTCGCATGCTCTGTCAGGGTCTGGCATACTGTTGAGTATACGTGCTGTGATCGCAGACTGTCTTGGTACTGGCAATGTGCTTTCTTCGCCGTGCGGTCGACACAGAAGTGCCTGCGGTAAGTATTCGCAGGCACGATGTGATGCTCAGAAGCCCCAGACTCAGCGAGAACACAATAATTCTTAAGTGTTAGCCTTCTCAATAGCGGGTGTGCTTGCATCTGGCATCTCACGTTTGCTTCGGATATCAAGAGGCCGGCAGAGTTCTTCTGAGGGGCGGCGTGGTTTTCGGGGCTAGGGTGGGTTAAACAGGAGTGTCAGACACAATTGTGGACATACCCACTCAGAAATGCGCGCATGCATGGCGTGCCAGCTCTTTGTTTTGTCTCGGCTCTTCAGGCAAGATGCTCCTATGCGTTGATGGGCGCGCTCGCGCGTGAGTGCGCATTACGTGTGGTGTGTGTGTGTGTCTGTGTGTGTGTGTGTGTGTGTGTGTTGTGTTTGCGATTGTGTGTGTGTGTGTGTGTGCTCCGACCCAGTCGTGGTCGGTGGCGCCGCCGGCCCGCCCCGCCGGAGTAAGGTTTAACCCGGAAAACGCCCCGAATACCGACAACGGATGGGCCAAGCCGTAGCCTTGGGAGGGGCCGCACCCGAAAACCTTGGAGGGACAAAGCCCGAAAACCCTGGAGGGGCGAAACCCGACGAGCTCAGGAGTGGATCTCGAAGGAGGCAGGACGAGGTACTGGGCGGCAGGAGGAGGTAGGGGGAGTGGGAGGCGGCAGGAGATCGTAAAAGGGACGAGGAGGTAGGATGAGCCTGGGTGCAGCTGGAGGAGACTGGCCGACGTAGGGGGAGGTACGACAAGGCCGACGGAGGCAGGAGACTTACGAGGGCAATGGAGATGGTTGCAGGGCGGTAAAGAGTCTACACGTGGATTTCTCTTGGGCGTATCGGGTTCTGGATACCGCGTCGGCGAGTGGTGCTTTCCACCGGGTACCTTAGCGTGGTTGGTTTGTGGCTTCTGCGGTTCTGACGGTTGTTTCAGGGTTTCTTCTGTGTGCCGGTTTGTCGTTTTTCTGTTGCGAATGAGTGGCGGTGTTTTTGGTCCCGCCCCGCGGTGTTGACACGTGGCGAATCGAACGGAATATTCGTTTTCGTTTCCCAGGCGTTGCCGCGTGGCGAGTAGAGTGACACTGTATATGTTCGGTCCGCGTGGGATTGCCACGTGATGAGTAGAGCGGAGGTATACGTTTTGCTTGTTCCCCATGTCGTTGCCACGTGGCGAGTGGAGTGGGATCGTACTTTTGCTTGCCTCCCAGGCCTTGCCACGTGGCGTTTACATGTGGCGAGTAGAGTGGGGTAGCATTTGTTTCTGGCCCGCTTCTTTGCTACGTGCCGAGTGGAGTGGAGTGATGTTGTTTCGCCCCGCAGGCGCTGCCACGTGGCGAGTACAGTGGAGTAGTATGTGTTCCCCCCTCCGAGCGTTGCCACGTGGCAAGGAGGGTGGGGCAGTATTTGTTTCGCCCCCTTGGCGTTGCCACGTGACGCGCGTGAGAGGGCGCGCGCTCGCGCGCGGGCGCGCGGGCGGGCGCGCGGGCGGGCGGGCGGGAGCAGGGGGAGCGAGAAGCGAGAAGGAAGGGGGAGGGGTTAGGGAGAAGGAGGAGGAGGAGGAGGAGGAGGAGGAGGAGGGCGGAGGGAGCTTCAGGAGGAGGAGGAGGAGGAGGAGGAGGAGAGAAGAGGAGGAGGAGCAGGAGGAGGAGGAGGAGAGGAGGAGAAAGAGGAGGAGAATGGCGGAGGGAACAGGATAATGAGGAGGAGGAGGAAGAGGAGGGGGGGGCAGGAGGAGGAGAAGGAGGAGGAGGAGGAGAGCGGAGAGGAGGAGGAGGAGAGAGAAGAGGAGGAGGAGGATGAGGATGAGGAGAAGGAGGAGGAGGAGGAGGAGGGCGAGGAGGAGGAGGAGAAGGAAGAGGGGGAGGAGGGGGAGGAGGAGGAGGAGGAAGTTTAGGAGTAGTGGGGGGAGGAGCAGGGGGGAGGAGGAAGAGGGCGGAGGGAGGTATGTGAGGAGGAGGATGAGGAGGGGGAGGAGGAGGAGGAGGAGGAGGAGGAGGAGGATCAGACATCTGAAGTTGGGAGGAGGAGGGGAGAGAGGAGAGAGGAAGGAGGGAGGGGGGAGGAGGAGGAGGCAAGAGGGAAGGAGGAGGGACAAGGGAGGAGGGAGGATGCAGAAGGCAGGAGGCAGGACGAGGAGGGGGGAGTAGGGAGAAGGGAGGAGGGTGGAGGAGAGGAGGGTCGGAGGCGTTGGAGGACGAGTCGTAGCTATTTTGGGACAAGGGGCCTGCTCCTGAACTTCCAACCCCGCTCGAGAGGCGGGGGCGCGTTGCCGGGGTCCTCGAAACTCACTGGCCAAGAGTTCGCGACCCCGCCCCCGTTTCCCGCCTGCGGGCTCCGCCGCCAATGTCTCGTTATGGTGGTTAGTATGGTCTTGCGTGCGCTACTTGTGGCTGCAGGCGGAACCCTGAGGAGAATTATAACTGGTGTTGCCATTGCGGCAGTGTGCTCCCCCACCTCCGCCATCGCGACCATGTCCCACCACGTGGTGTCTGGGCAGGTGGTGGTGGAGAAGGAGGAGGGCACGGCGCCAGGAAAGGAGAAGGCAAAGAAGGAACAGGGGGCCAAAGGTGGAAACGTTGGTAAACGAGGAGGAGGTTGCCGCGGTGGAGGAGGGCGCGGGGGAGCTTGGGATGAAGGAGGACGAGATCAGCCTCGCCGTCCCCCGGGGCCTCGCGGAGGCCATGATGAGCTCCAATGTGTCTTCCAGATCTCGCAGGGCCCCAGCGACCCGTTCCCTCCAGAGGTCTCCCAGAGAATTGCGACAGCATGTAATAATTCGTAAGTGATTCGCTCCCTGCCGCCGGCCCCCCTCTCTCGGATAATGGGAGATGCAACAGCTAAATCATGAGGTCTGGGCGCCGCCGTGAAGCAGTGTCGGGACCTGTTGGTTTTTCGACCCTGACCCTACGGATCTGCGTCACGGGTGCCACCGAATTTCAGAAATGTGACATATCCGCTGTGTTTTTGGACCCTGGCCCTGCGGATCTGCGTGAGGGGTGCCGCCGAATTGCAGAAATGTAGCAACTCCCATGTGATTTTGGGCCCTGACCCCGCCGAGCTGCGTGAGGGGTGCTGCCGAATTTCAAAAATGTGGCAAATCCGCTGTATGTTTGGGCCTTGACCTTGCCGATCTGCGTGAGGGGTGCCACCGAATTCAAAAATGTGGCAAGTTCCATGTTTTTGGAGCCTGTCCTTGCCGATGTGCGTGAGGGGTGTAACCGAATTTCAGAAATGTGGCAAACCCGTTGTGTTTGTACACGGAGGAGGAGGAGGAGGAGGAGGAGGAGGAGGAGGAGGAGGAGGAGGATGAGGAGGAGGAGGAGGACAAACAGAAAAGGAGGAGGGGACGATGACAAGGAGGACGAGAAGTCGGGCTTAGGGGATATATTGTGGTGAGGGTTTCTTCGAAGCGTCGTAATGCCATTTTGGCGCCATTTTGGCGCCATCTTGGAGCCCTCTTGGGGTCCTCTTGGGGCCTTCGTGGGGCCCTCTTGGGGCTCATTTGGGGAGTCTTGGAGCCCTCTTAGGGCTCTTTGGGGAGGCTTGGGAGGCCTCTTGGGGCCGTCTTGGACCCCATGGCTAAAAAAGAGGGGGGGACCAATTCCCGTCGCCCCCTCGGAGGCTCACAAATGCTGTCTTGGAGCCGTCTTGGGCCGTTCTTGGAGCGTTCTTGGCCGCTCTTGGGGCCGTCTTGGGGCCCTCTTGGGCCCCTCCTGGGGCTCTCTTGTGGCAAATTGGGGCCATGTTGAGGATGCCGAAGCCCATCGGAAGCGAAAAGGCGAGAATGCCTGAAACATTGATTTTCCTTAGGCATTTGAAGGATTTTGGCATCTTGGAGGGTGCCGTTGAAGGCTCGAAAGGCACTTGGATCCGTCTTTGGGCAGCCTTGAGGCCTCTTGGATGTGTGTCGGAGGCTATCTTGAGCCATCTTGAGCTATCTTGGGCCATCTTCGAGACCATCTTGCGCTCTCTGAGGCCCTCTTGGAGCCATCTTGGGCCAAAAAGGACCCTCTACCCCCTCGGGACCGCGCCGTCCAAACCCAAGGAGGGGGGGGGGGGTATATCAGGGAGGTTGGAAACGGAAACGCTCTAGACCACCTCCGCCCAGGGGGCTGGTAGGATTGTCGGCTCAGTGGAGGGGGGGGAGGGTGATGGGGGAGAAGTTTTCCCGCCCGCGCCTCGTCGTCTGGGCGCGGTTTGGCGGCTCGGGGGGGGGGGGGGGCGAGTGGGGAAGGAGGGTGGCGGAAAGGGGGGGCGGGCGGGCGGGCTCGCGGGCTAGGCGGGCGGGCGGGCGGGCGCGCGAGCGGGCGCGCGCGTTGGCGGGCGGGCGGGCGTGCGTGCGCGCGCGAACAAACAAAAAGGGCGGGTGCGCGCGGGCGGGCGCGCGGGCGGACGCGCGCTTCGGCGGGCGGGCGGGGCGCGCGGTCGCGCGGGCGAGGAAGGTTCAGGCGGGAGAGGCTGCGCATAATTGCCGCCGTTCAAAGGCGTCGCTGGGCCTTGCGCTCTCTGGCGTTCCCGCGCTGTCGGGGACATTGGGGTCGTCTGCTTGGCGACTTCGGGGCTGCCATGCGCGGCGGAGGTGGCCTCTCCTGTATTTTCCGGGTTTGACTTCGGTTTTCAGGTCTCGGGCGCGGGAAGGTTTTCGGATTTCGCTCTTTCCGGATTCTGGGGTTTCGCTTGAGATTTTCGGGTTCCGACTCGAAGAGTTTCCGGGTTCGCTTTGCTACCCCGCCCCAGCTCTTGCGTGTCGCCCATTTTCTTCACGCATTGGCTCCGGCCTAGTTAAAAAGTATGTTCCGACCCTTTCTACGCCGTGCTGCCGCGCATGGCCGAGACGCCACACAAATGTGCTTGTGTGTTGGGGAGTCTGGGGCTTCCATCAGAGTGCCTTTTCGCCATGGCGTCCCTTTTGTTTCTCCTGGTCCTGCAGGTTATAGGGTGGCCGCGCGAGATGTACGAACCCCAGTGCCTCACATGTCCTCCATCCAAGGTTGTCCGAGGGCCTCGCAGTTCTACGACGGATGCCGATGGCGTCCAGAGTGCACCAAATCACGCACGTGACCTTTTTGTAGCCCCTGTGGGAGGACCGGCTTGCTGTCGCCGGTGGCCTTGGCGCGCTTCGGGCACGACCCTGGCTCGGGCGACCCCTGGTCGGTGCCTAGTGGCATGCGCTCGCGCGCGGCAACTGCCTTGGGAACCACGGGGCAGATGTCCGCGGAGTCGGCGGCGCTGGGGCATGAAGCACCTGTCTTTGCCGCTCGCCCTGCCGTTCCCCCCGACCTTTCGTTCGTGGTCGTCGTTGTATCCTCCTCCTCCTCCTCGTCCTCCTCGTCCTCCTCCTCCTCCTCCTCCTCCTCCTCCTCCTCCTCCTCCTCCTCCTCCTCCTCCTCCTCCCCCTCATCCGATCGCGGGCAGAGAGCCACTTGGAGCTTTCTTGATTCGAGCCGACGAGAGCTTCGATCTCGGCTGCCTCGGAAAATTCGACTCGATCGATTGCCTTGCCCTGTGGTTTTCCTTATAGCAATCGTCCCGCGCCGACCCGCGCCGTTGCTTTGGATCCCATTTTGGCGTCGGCTCGATCTTTCGGGTCTCGTCCAAATGTTGATTGTGGACGCACGCTGGGCAGACATCTAGCTTCATTGACGATGGCCTCTCGGCTCCTGCGGTCTGCCCCAGGAGCGGCCTGAAATTCATTCACCCAGGCCTGTCTTGGGATGGGGGGAGAGGGCAGTGATTGGTTCTACCAGCGATTGCCCCCGAGAAGAGTGGGCGTTGATGCTCTGGCATATATGGTCCGCATCCGTTGGACGACGGATCTTCTCAGCCGCATTGATCAAGTGCGTGTCCCAGGGGGCCCAGCGGGACGCTTGATAACCTGGGCCCCCAGGGCCTTTCCGCGGGGCATAGAGGAAGCCGCTGGCCTCCTTGGGGCAGCAGCGCCTTCCGCCTGCTTCCGATGCTCGCCTCGGCCAAATCCCGGCGGCGGCCAGGCGGCCCGTGGTGCTTCCCCCCCCGTGCCGGGGGGCCGTGCGCCGCTCCCGCGGCGCCCCCGTCGGCCGGCGGCGGTTGTCCCTCAGGCGGTGGACTGGTGGCCCGGCGACCGTGCGGCTCTGCCCGGCAGCCGCTGCGGCGACAGTCGCGGGGGCAGCCGCGGAGGCAGCCGCGGTGGCAGCCGTTGGGGGCGCGGCACGGTGCGGTCGTCGGGGCCGCTCCGGCCAGGTCCGGCCCGCCACGGCCCGTCGGCCGATCGACGATGCGGTGCAGGATCTCGTTATTGAATCGCCTCGCTCATTCCGCCGGCCCTGGAGCGCCTGTTTGGGGCCTCTTGGGGCCGTCTTGGGGGCTTCTTGGGGGCTTCTTGGGAGCGTCTTGGGGCTCCCTGGCGGCGTATTGGGCTCCCCTGGGGCCTCTTGGGGGGCTCTTGGGGGCCCCTTGGGGCGGGAGGGGGGGTAGTCGATTGCGGCCCCCCCCTTGGAGGCCACGATCCTCGTGAGAGGTGGCGAAAAATAGCTCCCCCCCTGGGGATCGCCTGGGACCCAGCCGGGAATCGGCCGGGGTACTTTTCGCCCGGGGCCCCCTAGGGGCCGCCCCGCGCGCGCGAACTAGAAATATTGTTAAGTAGTTACCGGAGATCTTAGCACGCCTCTGGCCCGTTGGCCGGCGAATTCCTGAGGGGCGACAGGGCGGGTGGAGCTTGTTCGCCCTGGGCCAGTCATAGCTCGGGGGATCCGCGGGCCGCTGTGGCGCGTTGTTGAGGAGTCCGGGGGGTCCTGCGCGCGAGGTGCAGAAACTCGGCCTGAACTCCGACCATCCAGTGTGTGCAGAAGTTATGTTCTTCAGTCTTCCCTGCGCTCTCTGCTTTCCGCCGTGACACGCCGCGTCACTCCCTTCTCCGCTCCCTCGCTTCTGCGCCTTGTGTGGGCCGCGGGCCAGGTGAGCAGCACGCTGCAGATATGAAGCGGTGATACTGTGGTGTTGGTTCGGAGATTTCCCCCCAGTGCCTGGCGTCTGAAGGCAAGAGTTGAATGTTCGGGCACGTGTCCAGGTGATGCCGCAAAGGCGAGACTGGACTCCATGTTTCGATTTCGCACTGTGCGTTGCGTATTGCGCATGTGACATGGCGCGCTTGTCATTCTGAGCAGTCGGATCTGACATCGTCGCGACTGGCGATCGTGGAGTGCGCTTTTGCCTTCCAGTGTTCTCCCTGTCCAACGCCTGCTACATAAGGTGAGCAGCCGTGGGGCCAGCGCTGGAGCAGTCCATCGTCTCAAGGATCGGGCTCACCCCGACAGTTTTGCTCTCTTTGCCTCTTCCGCATTTCAATGTCCTTCCTTCGTAATGGATGCACCGTTACGCTTGAAATGGATGCACCGTTTCCTTCTTCCGTATCCGCCTCTTCTGCTGTAATGGATGCACCGTTACGCTCGTTGGGCATTGTGTCGAATCCGCTGCTGCTCTCAATGCCCCCTTTTTTTCCCTCCCTCCCCTTCTCCCTCTGCCCCCCTCTCCTTCTACGGGTTTTGACTTGCTGGTCTGGCTTTGAGCTCCTTCAGTGTAGTCCAGTCTCTGTCGCGTACACATATGCATAGGTAGTGGTGGTGGTGGTGGTGGTGGTGGTGGAGGTGACGACGACGATGACGATGCCGACGACGATACTGATGATGATGATGACGATGACGATGACGATGATGATGCTGATGATGATGCTGCTGATGATGATAATGACGATGATGACGATACTGCTGCTGATGATGCTTATGATGATGATGATGATGATCATGATGCTGCTGGTGTTGATGATGATGATGATTGATGGTGGACCACTGTTCATTGAGCATCGGTCGTTGATCATTGACTATTCGTGATTGGTAAAAGGGTGTTTGATGATCGTTGGTGGGTGGTTAATGGTTCCAGGTTGTTAATGGTTGGCGATATTGATGATGAGGAGGAAGGGGAGGAAACTAAGAGCTGGAGGAGGTGGAAGCGAAGAAGAGAGGAGGATACATAAGGGGGAGAAGGAGGAGGAGGCTTCCTTTCCTTCCTTCAGAGGAGGAGGAGGAGCAGGAGGAGCAGGAGCAGGTTCGACGCCCATAGAGGGAAGTCCAAGGGAGGGAGAGAGGGAACAACAGGGTGGGGTGCCCATCGAAGGGGACCTTTTTGCACCCAGCCGGGGGTTCCATCCCCACGGTCCTGGGGCCAGTCGACAGGGCACCCCACCCCTCGCAGCGCTAGTCGAGGGCCCCTTCCTCGTGCTGCGTTGCTCTGCGAGCTTGGACCGAAGCACGGGCCTCGACGGCCCTACGGCCAAGCTCTTCAGCCAAAACTCTGGACTCGAAGCCGAACGCTTTGAGCACAAACTCCACACTCGTCCGCGAGGGGGCTGCGCAAGAGGTTGAGGATGTGGGTGAAGTGCCGATGGAGCAGCAAGGTGGCCCCTGCCTAGATATGGTTGGGCACCGGCAGCCAGCAGCAAGCAGTGCACCGCATTGGTGGCCCGAGTTCCTCGTCGCACAACGCGGCTGAGCAAGGCGGCGGGAGCCATGGCGGCGGGCGGGCGCATTCGAGCAGCGGGATGCCGGTTGTCCTGCGACAAGCCGACCAGAAGCGCGGGGGGGGGGGGCTAGCGCCGCGGCCGCGCTCGCTTGCACCGCGCGCCGGCCGTCAGAGTGCTCTCCCCGCGCGGCCGCGTGCTACGCGCTCCTTTTCGTTCAAAGGCGTTAGTGATCGATGGCAGTAGAACGGCTGCCGCCGAAGGCCGCCATCGTGGCCACCTGTGCGATCGCATCGGTCATGGTGAGGTAATGTTGTTTGCTGGCGCGAGCTACCCAGGAAGCCAATTGGCGGGGGGGTGACAACTACTCTGGGCGGTCGCGTTCGCGCACTGCCGCGTGCGACTGCCAGGCAAGCGGGCGGCGTCACGCTGCGAGAGGATGCGTGATCTTCCAATGCAAGCACGGGCTCTCAGCATGCAGGTCATTATGATGGGGCCTCCGGTGTAGTTCTGGAAGTTCGGGCATTTGAGAAACGCGCTCCAGGACTGGCGTCTTCGAGCTATGCGAATGCCTCTGTGCAATTTCGGCATTAAGGTCGATTGTCTCATTCAACAGCCCATTGCGTCGTCCATACAGATGCACTACATGCCCATCATGCCGGTTAACTTGTGGCGATGCATGCGTGCGACGGCTACGGAACACGAACGTGAATGGGGCGGGCACGACCAGCAACATGCCGAATGGCGCGGTAGGACAATCGCCATCCTGATTTCACGCTTTCCGGGCGAAATGCATAAAACGAGTCCCACGCGGAACGGCCAGACAGACGTGCATCTATACACGTTATGATTCTATTGTGCAGGTAAAAGCTCAGAGACGCGCGTGCACACAGTTTACCAATTTGCGGCGAGCTCGTCTGTGGTGTCGATGTTGACTTCGACGCAAAAGGGATGATTCAAGACGCCCGAGTCAAGGGCCAATAGACGGGATTCGACGCGACCGCGCCTCTGCCGCCCAGGGTCCGAAACGCGCGCGCGCGACTGCAATGGGGACCCGCGGCCCAATTCATGCTCGGCCACGGGCAGATGGCGAGGCAGCGACCATGGAAACGAGCTGCGCCCATCGCGGACGATCGATCCCCCCCTCTCGGCTTCTGGGCTTGGCCGCGAGCTGAAAGCGAGAGACCGCCTCTAATTTCTCCATCTCCAACGTTGACGCAGGCAGACGCGCGCTCGGCAGAACGCCCAGCAGACGCCTGGCCCAAACAGGGAGAACAGAAAGCAAACAAACCAGCCATTGAACCAAAGAAAATTGACGGAAAGGCCAAAGGTGGCATTGAAGATTGCGCCGCGTTCCACACCGCAGCAGATCTCGACTCAGACGGCGGCGACGCCGTCTTCCTGACCCTGCCAGTCATGCCGGAATCGGGCGCCGAAGTCGTTAATTTTATTCACTCCCGCTGTGTTATTGACCGGGCATTTGCGTCGACGGTTTCGGACTCGCGCGGAGGATTTGGCGGATCGCAGCTCGCCCTCAGAGACGACCCACCTCAGGGGGCGACCTCGGCAATCGAGCCAGCGTCGACCTAGGAAACCCAGGGGCGCAACAAGCCGCGGCGCACTACCTCAATTCGCGTTTCGTCGCGACTGTCATGCCACAACCCAGGTGTTGGACTACGGGACTACCTACTTCAACGCGAAGGTCATTTACAAGACCCGGTACAAGCGCCACAGGATACCTACTAGTTTTTCTTTGTGGCCAGGTCGCCGCCGTGGAAGACGACCAAGTGCGTCTCTTCCATATGGGGCAACGTGCGGGCGCATGAGTAGTCGACGCTGCCCCAGCAGGCAACCCCAGCCAAAAGCAAGGTCGCTTGCAAGCAGATAGTTGGCCCATGCTCGACAGGGTTGGGTCTCCAAGGGCGTGCTCGTCCGAAGGCCCGCATGATGGCCAATCGCGCAGCCGCGCGTAAATCTTTCTAACGTATGAGGCGCAAGGGCCATCGCGAGCGTGCACAAGCATGTCACAAAGCACTAGCACGGGCGGCCCAACGAACGCGCCAAATATGCAATCCCGACTTGCAGCCGCGGTTAGGATTGCAGGGCGCCCTCTTGCTTCTGGCCGGAATCTTTTTTGCACGGCGGACGCGGGCGCAGACCTTCCTGGTCAAAGGGGCCAGCTTTGAACCAGGCGGTGCCAGCGTGCCGCGACAATCCAGCGGCGCCATCAACCGACCCACATCTGGCGATCTGAGATTCCCAGCAAGCGCCGTCGGCACAACGTACATAGTAACTCACCAAGACACAGCCGCAACCGGAGACAATGTTGTTGTTCGACAAGAAATAGCAGTCTAGGGAACGCCCAAGGTGTAAGCTTGCTAATGCCAGGCGCATGCCGGCTTGCCAATCTTTTCCACTGCCAGACAGATCCGGCGAAGGTCCGCAGGCTGTGCTGGCGCCAGCTCCCGCGCCAGCTGCGCAAGCGGCTGAACCCGCGCAACCAAGTCCGCGGCCACGCGCGCCATTGCCTGCGCGTAGAACCTTGGCGGCAATGACCCAGAGGCTGGCGCCAGTAGCTGCGGCGTGACCCGAGCAGCGCACTGGGAACGCAGCGGTGACGCAAAGGGGCTCGGCGCTGGTAGCTCAAATGACCATCGACGAGTCGTGGGGCGGCGCGGGCGTGGGCGGGGTTGCGCAGCGCCGCCGCCAGCTCAGCCGCAGGCTGATGCGCGGCCGCGCGCGAGACTGCCCGACTTGACGCGCTTTGACATTCTGGTAAGGCTCCGCAGCCTACGCAGCTTCAACCCAGCGCCTGCCGTTAAGGATTTTCAGAAACTGCACCTGCACCGGCATCGTGCTTCAGGGCCGAAAGTGCGTGTGATCCCGTCGAAGGTGGGGCTTGACACCGTGCGCCCCCGCATGGATCAAGCGCGTCTGTGACTCATGGTGTGATTATCGAGCCTGGGGGGGGGGGGGGGAACTGGCAATGCGGTTATGCCACCCATCAGTCTTTCCATGCAGAGAAGTTGAATTCTATTTTATTTTCTACAACCAACAGATTCCCACAATATTGACCGATGCATTTGTTGCAAGGCTACGTGCTTCATCCTTGGCGCTCATCGCCAAACGTGGACGCTGCGCAGCCCAGTTAAAGACTTCTTGCTTTGACGGCGAAGGCGCCTTGAACGATTCCGCCAAGGCTACCCCCAAGGCCGCGGGCGCGGAGCTCGCATCCACGCCCGAGGCCAACGTGCCAACACCATCGAAGCACCCAGCGGCAGTCTTCGACAAACACCTCACATGATGGAGGAGGAGCTCAGGAGAGTGAACATCCCTCTTGTGTTCCCTCAACTACTGCACGAGGGCTTGTTCGTCTGCAGTGCGTTTACGTTATGCAGCAGCGCGCCTCCTTTGCAAGCCTAGCAAGGCTGACGAACCGGCCTGTCTCCCTGATCTACCAGGGATAGATCGCGAGCCAGTGGGGGCATGTCCGACCACGACTGCGACAGGAATATCAGGGAGGTAAGTATCGAGGCCATCACAAAGGCCGCCGCAGTAGCCAAGGCCGGCCGAGCCTTGCGCGCTCGAACGACACCAGTTGGGCAACGCAGTTGTCAACCGGGCGATCTCGTGGATTGCCGCTGACCAACCATCGCAAAGGGGTCTTGCGGTGGACGGCGTGGGCCATGCCCAGTCATGCGGCGTTGCCCAGACCGAAGTCAGGCAGCGGTTAAGGTCGGCGGCCAAAACTTCTGGCTCAGTGAAGACCTACGGTGCAACC